ATGCAAATATAGGCATAAAGTCACTAGGTGAACAAACCTTCTGCTAGATTTAGCAGGCTTCACCTAACTCTTGGTAATCAGAGCCCCCAAAATGGGTGCACCAGTTTGCATAAAAAACTCTTGGCAAATAAAGAAAGCAAAATTTAAACCACTTTCCTGAGACAGGAAATTAGAAAAAACCATTTAAATTAGGAAAAACCCAGGGGAAAGACAGCCCTAACTAAATTCTGCTGACGCATAAGATCCCTAAGGAGAACTTGCTGTCCGGGAAGAGAGAGAGTATATATGGTTGACTTGGGCTCAATGGAATTTCCTAAGGAGAGAAATTCCTTATTGTTCTAATTATAACTGCAGAAACAGTGACTGTAAGCTATGATTTGGGGCTCAACCATAAAGTACCAGCATAGTTTGCACAAGGGTCTGAACCACTTAATGTATCATCACTAGAGAACCAATAATGTTCAATAGTAATCCTATGGTAGCAAAGATACAATAAACTGCTTACACCTTTCTGGCATAGTTCTTCCACTCGGCATTCAGGAGCAGTGCTGACATGTACAAGGCCCAGTCCAAGCCTTGCAGATCCAGTGTCTTCTTGGCCTTGTTTGTACTTGTGTACAAACTTCTTAGTATTACATTGTTGAAAGTGATGGCACAAGATAATGAAAACAACAAAGTAAAAATTGTAATCCAGAACCTGGATCCAGGAGAAATGCTAAAGGCGATTTTTGCAGTCATATCAGGTAATTATTTCAGAGATGTAGAGTGTGGTTGGGGGTTAATAAACTTGGTGTGATGAAAGGAACTTAAGGAGACCTCCAATGATTTGCATCTCCTAGTGTCTCTTTGTGTCCATGCCTTTATGTAACCTCCCCATCTTGAGTGTATGTGGGACCTATGACCTGCTTCTGATCAGTAGGATAAGGGAAAGGTGATATGATGCTATTTTCATGATTATGTTATGTTACATAAGACAGAGTGATAGCAGGCTAGAGAGATTCTCCTTGCTGACTTCATAAGTAAGCAGCCATGGGTGAAGAAGCCTACATGGCAGGAAACTGGGGGTGACTTGGAGAAACAGCAAGTGTCCTCTAGAACCTAAGTGTGGTCTCCAGATGACACCCAGCAAAATCTTCATAGTCATACAGCTTCAAGATTAATTCTTCCAACAAGCTGAAAGAGCTTCCAAACAGATTTTTCCTCAGTCAAGCCTTCAAATGGGAACACAACCTTTGAACAACTTGATTGCAATCTTATCAAACTCTGAGCGGAGGACCCAGTTAAACCATGGTCAGACTCTTGATGCACAGATGTGCGACAAGAAATATGTGTTGTTTTAAGTCATTAATTTGAAGTAATTTATTACATAGCAATAGAAAACTTTCACAATGTTACTTTTGATGAACCCCCATCCCCCCATTAAGAATGGCCCTAACCTGGCAGGCTACACCTAGGACAGGCAGAGGACTCTTGCTGGGATCCAGATATGTTTCCTGTGAAGAAACTAGAATCCTGGAGAAGGAACTCCTGTCAGCATAATATTTTCTCAGATGTTTTGCTGGGAAAGTATTTTTGAGCTTACTGCATGAAATGTAATTCTCTAAGACATAATGTGTCTGAGTGCTCTTTTTCATCAGCCCTCAAATCTCCAAGGAGCTCATTCCTGTCCCTTCCTTTAGAGGCAAGGGACACATAGCTTCTGCAGTTACAGAGGATAGAAATGAAGGTTTAAGTAAAAGAAAAGATGTTGAAATAGCAAAGGAGGAACCATTCACCTAATCATCATTCCTACTTCTTATAGTTACTTTCAGTTAAAAAATCTCTAGCAATCCTCCAAAGAGTTGCATGCATAAGCAGCCCCCATAATACTGGGTTGTGTGTGAAGGAGACTTTAAGTAAGATGTGCTAGAAATCATCCTCATATCTACAAGGGCTCAGGAATTCACTGGAAATTTCAGAGAAGTTTTCAGGGACAAACTGGACATATATCCTTTACATATAATTTATATTTGGGTAACTATGCATAGTTTCATCATCATTTTAATAACTTTTATTATCTGTCATAAGAATTCATTTTGTTCTCCTGATATCCCAATGTTACTTCATCAAAGATCTTTTCACATCTCAAGGGCTCTGAGTGGGAAAAGGCCTCAGATCTCTGTCATTCAACAAAAGGTAGCCCATATCCTCATTGACTCCCTAAGCTTCTGAGAAAACTCCAGAAAAGCCTTTTTTCTCCCCAGTTTGTCTACCTTCGGTAAGTTTAGGCTTTAAAGACAAAACAAACCAACAAAGAGTACACACAGTTTTCTTTTGGGACTCTGACCAGTTTATTTGTTCCTGCTGCAAAAAGGGGTCAAGACCTTCACAAGGAAAGGAGTTCAGAACTCAGAGCACAAACCCCGACAAACTTCTGGAGTTTTTGGGGAGGAGTGATGAGCGAGACTTCTCACATCTTCCAGGTTCATGTGATGAGAACATAGGACAAACTAATATCAGCAAAATATCTTGCCACTTCATACCAGGTTAAATATCCTTTACACACACACGGATAACTTTAGTGGTGGCTGATACCTCACCATCAGCATAAAGGATCCAGTATCTAGACTGAGCAAACCAGGTAAACAGTGACACCAGAATAATACTGTCAGTTCTGCCTAAAAGTGTCACAGGTTAGGAATGCTTCAGGGAAAAGAGAGGAAGACAATTGTTTTATTAGAAACCAACAGAAACAGACAGGTAAACTCTTGGCACTGAGGAGTAATGGGGAAAGAAAGCATTTAGCACCCACCTCCCCACCCGTTCACCAAGCTTCTGCCATTCTCCTGTGTTACTGTCTAGCCTTTGACCTTCCATGCTGACTTCCAAGAAACAGGTACAACCATTGCCTTTGGGACTTGGGTTAATAACTGTACCTACTGCCCAATCCTTGAGGGGTGAGAAGTTGGGAAGTCCTTGATTTTATTGTTATTAGCATGATGATTTTCTGTTTTTCAAAGCTGGATCTTTGAATTTTTTCTCAATTCATTTTTGTCCCAAAGGAAACATTGTTTTTCAAGGTGATTCAATTCTACTACACTGTACATATTTTATGGTATTATTGGATTAAATAGGCCTTACAGGCTTACCTTGGGAACCCAAACACCATTTATAGCCTTTCTGTGGGGAAAATTAATTTCAAGTTCTAAACTACCAGCTCCACAAAAAGCTCATGAGTAAACCAGTTATACCCTTTTTAATTTTTAATTTTTTTGTTTTGGCCTCGCATTTGCCCCTGAGAGAAGCAGCCACACTGGAGCAAACTGCATTCTTTTAAGTAACTTCTTTTGTCAGTTAGAATGCTTTTGTCTGTAAGTAACAGAAGACCCTGCTAAATGTGGCTTAAACAATAAGGATATTTATTATGACATTCAGCCAGAAGTCCAGAGAGAAGTAGATCTAAGAATTGGCTCAGCAGTCTAACAAATGCCTTAACGTACCTAAGCTCTTTCTAACCTCCCTGCTTTCCCATGCTCTGCATGTCATCAATCTTCCTCATCCCCGACCCCTAGGCAGTAGAAACTCTATGCATCACATCCTTATAACGGCATCCAAAGCAGGAAATGAAAGGGATGGAGGTGTTTTCTCCGCATGCATATTTCTTTTATTAGGAAGAAACCTTTCCCAGGAGTCCTGCAACAGATTTTCTCCCAGCTTCTATTGGCCAGACCTCAGTCAAAGCAAACGCCAAATGAATCCCTAATGAAAGCAGAATATACATCATCCTTAATGAAAGCATCAGGGATGATATCTATTGTGACACATATCCTTCATATTTCATATCCTGTGCTGGGAGTAGGGCACATCCTTGCTGAGCACATTTCCCCAAACTTGAACAAAATTAGGGTTCAATTAGGAAAGAAGAGGGGACTGGTTGATGGTAGGTAACAAATAGCATATGTCATAGTGTAATTTTACTCCTTTTTCTTTCCTTTCTTAAGAGGTTTCCTCTAGACTGGTAACTTATGGCACTGGGCTGCAAAGATGAGGCTTTAATGGGATACAGAGCACATTAAGAAAATGCTGAATTACGGTGCTATGGTCGTGCTGCAAATGCGATGTTGTGAAATCATCATCCTGGTTAGACATATAAACTGGGCAATGCTATCTGGAAGTCAGAGCAATTCACTGAGCTTAAACACATAAAGCACAGACAGCTCCCTAGTGCTTGCAATGCTCACTTTTCGTTGACCTGTGTCCAATGAGCCAAAAGATAACCCATGTGAAATTCTCATATAAACTAAAATGTTAGTTAATATGCCACTTACTATACATTGAAATCATGGCAGTTTTCAATGATTAGTGACACAGAAAATATTTGCCCAGAGACTGTTAGCAGTAATTTTTTCCAAAGCAATATCCCCTGAATGAAAGCCAAGTACAACCAACAACACAATCACCAAGGAGCCTCTTCTCCAGTAATAAGCCCAGAGGTTCTTTTCACTAAAAATTATTACTGTTTTTGTAAAAAATTCTACTCCTTATCACAAGGTTGTGTAAAAATAATTCATGGCTTAGAAAACAGAGCTGAAGTTAATTCCTTTGTCTCAACAAGATTTTGCAACTGCTTCCATAGACCCTATAGAAGAGAGCTGTGTTCCATACCAACCCAATTCCAGTGAAATAGGCAGAGGCAATGTTACAGCCAAACCCAATCATATATGTCTGCAACAAAGCTGCAACATTTCGATACATAGAACGTCAAAGTCAAAGGTCTACTAAAACTTTTTCTTGAATACAATGGTCCATGGAAGAGAGGGTGGCCCTTCTAAAACCATACTGCTATTCAGAACTTTATGACATAATGTGGATCTGAGAGAGGTCATGTCCTCTCTCCTCTGGGCTCCAAAGGTGAGACTTAACGGATACAAAACACCGTAACAAAATGCATGCTAAATTTTCTCTCTCCTCTAACTTTGAAATGTCATGGAGTAATGCTAACCGCATGTCATTTGACTTACCACTCTTCCTAGTTGGAGTCGAGAGGAATGAAGGCTAGAATCCTCAGAACTCTGTATTGAATTTCAATGGTGTCTTTCTTCCTAAACTTTAGTTGGAGAGTGAGGATCAAGGATTGTCCAAAAAGGCAGAGTCTTCTCACTACACAGGGTTTAAACGTGTGTCTGAAAGTGAGGAAAGCAATGATTAAAGAGCTTATTATGTTGTTTTTTACTTTTTGCACAAAACCAAAGGAAAAGAAGAGAATAAAGAGAAGTACTAAGAACACAGATAAACAGAAAAGAAATATTTTTAATTGCATTGAAAACTGTCCTATAAAATTATCTTACAATAGCAAGTAAAGCAACCTTAAAATTAGAAATCAATAAACAATGTCATACATGGATATATGGATATATCATGTCAATTTGAGCCCCTAATGGCTGTATGGTTTGCAACAAACATTCTAATATTGCACTGTCCTAGCAAACTTGAATTATGATCTTAATTAATCAATATTTATTTATTGAATGATCAGCACTAGCCTTGGTTCTGTGTTAAGCATTAAAGAAACTATAAAATGCAAAGAGTCACACTATTGTTGAAAACATGACTATTATACTTAAAACAGTAAGGCACAATGCAGGTACCATATAAATTAAATGCCCAAGTTGCATGCAATCTGAAATATACACACATTTATATACTGGTAGTATTTTATTTTTCATCTACCTTCCTCTTTTGACTCTCTGTACATGCAAGTCCTTCCCAGGACCTTAACAATTGATGTTTTTAATGTGAGTAAATTGCCAAACCTAATGTGCTGCAGATTTTGTCTAAAGTTGGTGTTTGTGGCATTCTCTGACTGCCTTCACAAAGCCCAAAATAAAACTAAGCTAAAGTACTCCCAAACTTTTTATACTGTGAATACTTTCTGTTTGCTTTAGAATTGTTTGGAATTACTCCTGAGGAAAAAAACCAGACGTTAGTAAAGCTGAAGAACTAACTGGGCTTTCTGCAGTTCTGTCAATCCATGGGAAAGCTTCCGTCTACCCAGATCCTGCCAGAAGGTAACAAAAGGTTTTCACTGACGTGCAAAGCAAGAGTTCATTTAATTTTTCAGAATTCTGTTTTTCAACTCTGTGTTCATTAGTTGACTTTGTCCTCTTTGTCCTTAATTATGTTGTCTTACGTGCTGCAAGCTTTATATTTAAAAACATATATAATTAATTACAAAATTAAATAGATATTTGTGCTTCATTGAGGATGGAGAGAAGTAGCTTATTACAATACTGCAAAAAGAAAAGCCAAAGTAACTATGATGTTCAAATATCCAACAAAACACACATTGAAAAAGCAAAGTATCTAGCTATAATTCTTTTCTTTTCCATCCAAGAATTAACCAGCTAACTAAACATAGCCTTTATTAAATCAAGTCTACATCATACATAAACTTTAATGTGAGAATCTTACCGAACAAAAATCTTCCACTGAGAGCCTATTCAAACTAGTTTCAAAAGATTTTCTTTCTGAAACTGAGAAATTTGCATTAAAGATGCTATGCAGCAATGAAACATTAACTTGATGAGTCTATTACACCATCAATAGAAAAATATGTCGAAAATGTTTTTAATCTCATAGGGAAATGGTCTTAGTATCCCTTATTTCTTCCCATCTTATTGTGAAATAATATTTTATGAAGCTAATTGTTCAACAATTGCTATCTTATCTATGAAAGGAAATTGCTTTTTTAAAAAAAACTAGGCCAAATAAAATAGGCCAACTTGTTTATGAAGCAAAGTATTTTAATCCACTTACTTATAGTTCTTGGCTTTTGACAAGAAGTCTGACATCTGAAATGGAAATATTCACTGTATAATTACACAACTTTTAACATGTATATATATATATTTATATTCATGCTAAAAAATGTCAGATTAGCTTATTTGAATAGTGTAGGCCATCCATTAAAATTGAGAAACTTATTCAATTGGATTTGTTACTCCTAAACATATCCTCATATGACATTGTAACTTTTTCCTGCCAAGCATTGGTATATAGTTTTAAAATTACAAAATTTTTGTATATAGTTATGACTTCTGGCCACTGGTTCTAAGCCAGTCTCCAGTAGAACAAAGGTAACTTATACTCTGTTTCCTGTTTACTAAAAACTGAATTATAAGGAGATTACAGTGTACTGCTGATAAATGATATAATTAGATAAGCAATTTTTAACACTATGCTTTAAGATAACAAAAGGAAATTTATAAGATGTTAGTTGGATGAGTGGAAATTTTCAAATGAGTTGAAGTTTTTCTATATGAAAACTATGTAGCCCAGTCTTTTCATTTTGAACTCTTTTGTAGGCCTCAAAAGAGTAAATATGGTTTCCCAAGAGGACTATATTTTCAGTCATCAAAATCTTATCATCATTACTGAGACATAGTTCTATTGGGACATGTAGTTAACATTTAATGTATTATAATAAATACCATAGTCTTCATGCTTTATTCATTTATCTCTTACCTGTATTGGGGTAACTATTTATAGCTATCAAAATATTATAAAATAATATATGTAATAATCAATTCTAGCTATAATTAGGATGAATAAAAAGCAACCTCTAACACATCAATGGCTTACAAAAACAAACATTATTGTTTTTCACTCATCAAAGGTAGGGTGGCTACAGATCCTCTAATTTCAGCTGCGGTTACGAGGCAGGACTCGGCTAGGCTTGATTAAACTCCAGGCCTGGGAATGAGTTCAGATCTATTCCACCTGTCTTTATCACTCTGGGACTAGAGGCTACTCAAGCATATTTTTCTCATGGAGCAGAAACACAAGGACTCAAGCCTAGCCACACTGGCACATGGAAGCCCATGCTCATTCTTCGGCTGTTCACGTTGGCTACAACAGGTCACATGGCCAAGCCCAACATCAGTGAAGTGGGGAAATATATTTCATCTACCCTCGTAACAAGGAGATAATACAAAATCACTTTGCAAAGCGCTTCAGTGTGCAATTCTATAATAAGAAAAGAATGAAGAATTGGGGACAATAATGTTCTATATTTCTGCAATGCATCACAGTAGACATTTATTACTTTTAATTTCATAAACATATTGGCACACTTTGAGGAATAAGCTCATGATAATTAAGGTAAAATAATCTACTTGTAGTAATAATTTAAAGTTGAAAACTTAGCCAGAATTTATGCCAGTCCATATTAAGAGTTTAGGTTAAACATACATTTAACAATTAATTGGATTTTTAACATATGAGTGCATTTAAATTATATCTCCCAGAACAAACCAAATGAATATGATAACATCATTTGAAAAATTATTTAATGATGACACTGTTTGAAGAATGTACCTTATCTTCTTGATGACTGGAAATAACATTTTTCCTAGCATAACTTTAGGGCAAGGAGCACTTTTAGAAATCTAACAGTTTTCTTACATGTTAACAAAATAAATATTTTAATATAATTTATATGATGTTCTACCATAAAATTGTGTTACACAGTAGATCTAATGTCAATAAAAACTGAACTATGCTGGATTGCAGAGTCTCTAACTGTCTGGCACCATCACCAAGTGCAGCTACTTCTCTGAGCACCCACCTCCAGGCTGAGAACTATAAATAATCCATTCGATTCTTGACATTACTGCCCAGAGCGGTGGGAAACGTAAAGGCTGATACATGTTTTCTTGTTCTGATTTTGTCTTTGTTTTTGGTAGCTGTTTTTAGTGCATGAATTTTCAAAGGTTGAAATGTGTTATTTAAGAATCACCCTAAGTCATATTAAAGTATAATAGCTCAAAGAAAAACCAAAGATATATTGTAGTACTTCTCTACCTAAAATTCTTCAATGACTCCCTAGTTACGCACACAAAGTACTTTGTAGCCATTTAGCTAACTTTATCAAGCCTGTTTGCCTATCCTCCAGCCAAATTAGGCCATTCCCTGTTTCCAAAACTTGCCCAAGCCTACCCACCTTTTTATTTATTTATTTATTTCTGACTCTTCCCTCTACAAGAAACTTCCTCCCCTCTTATCTATAGGCCTGCTGACCTCCCAACATTTGCTCCTATCAAGAACTCAGATACAACTTTCCTCAAACTTTTCCTGATAATGCCAAGAGTTGGAGTTCCCATTGCTTCCCCCCATCCCTACTTCTGGTGGTACTTAAAATAGTCTACCTTTTGTGTAATTTGTCAGTAGTCATTGAGTACCTGCCATGTGTCAGGAGCTTGCTCCTCCTCTTCATAAGCTCAGTCTGGTTTGCATGTTTGCTGTATTGTAGCAAAGCATAAGCTCCCTGAGATCAAAGACTGTCTTATTCATTTTTCTCTTCTCTGTGACGGGCTAGCATATTCACTTACACACAGTAGGAGCTCAATAAATATCTACATGAAGAAATAGTAATGTGGGGAAAATCTCAGTAATTTTTATTCATTTGGTCGATGACTTCTCACAAAATGATATAAAATATGACTTCAGACTTCAGCAAAAGTACCTGGATCATAGACACTCAATAAACTGCAGCAGGGTAATTAGACGTAATTTGATCTATTTGAGCCAGAAAAAGACTGTGCTGTTTGCCTTGAGGCATTTAAAATTAAAGCTAGAACCTTATTAGTATGAAATAGTTCGAGTGTGGATCTGCATAACAGTTGCAACCTCTCAAGACTGTTAAAGTTCTATAGTAAGACTTTTCATTATTCAAACAGTAAACAATAAATTGACAAAAATCGAGGATATAGCTACTCTAATCTATAAAACTTTATTTATATAATTAGACATCTCCAATAAATTAACCAATTTTACTTACATAAAATAATAAAGCTGCTAAAATTTTATATTTTTAATGTTTTTATCATCTTTGATCTTTTTCCTAACTTCCTTAAGTACAATTTTTATATGCCACTAATTGCTCAAAAACATAAAGTAGCCCATTATTTCTTTATAGGCATGGGAGTTTAAAGCTAGAATAGACTAGAAATCATTGAGCTTTATCTGTTAATTTTACTCGGTATCAACTGAGGCCCATAAAATTCATTACTGTGACTGGAACCCACGTCTCCCGACATAATGTTCTTTCTACTTCACCATCCTATACATTTTTAAACTCCTTTGTTTTTCAAGAGCTCTACAAGGAAACTTCATTCTTAAAAGT